ATTATCATTGGACATTATGCCATGATGACCTCTATATTATTGGGAGATTTGCATGATTATCTTTATTGCATTGTTTAAACAATATTGGCCTTGACTTAATGTTTTTTGATGAACTTTTAAAGTGCTTTTTTTTCAAAATATTTAAAAAAATAAAAAAAGATATCGTACGCAAAAACTCTACCAACATATCAAAAAATATTAAAATAGTTTTCTAAACATTAAATACATTTAGAAGTGTATCCAAACATTTTAAATAATTTGGAAAGCTAATCCAAAAATATTAAATCGAGGCCTTAGTCAGATACTAACTACAGATCATAGAGAAGGTGGTACTGTTGAAAACAGAAAATTTTCCAGCTTGGTAAACTGGATTGGTTGAGTGACCTGGATGTCCTTGGCCTCCATTTTAGTGAGGAGGTCAGCACTTAAGATTAAGGGGCATGACATTTTGTAGTCCAGATTCTGGCAGTTTGTCACAATGCGCATGATGGAAGGTTTGGGGATCGGCTTGCCTTGGTGTATGTATGGGATGGGTCTTTTATCATTCAGGCTGGTAGAACATGGGGAACAGTGGTCTTTGGAGTCAACTGGTATAGATCACCTGTATTAAAAAACTCAACTAGTTAATAACTCCTTACTTCCCTGCTCATGTGTCAATGAAGAGGGAAGGTCATTCTATTAGGGAGATTTGGAGCATCAACAATATTTCAATTGAGAAACCCAACTCATCACATCCCCAGTGGTTACAAAGTATACTCACGGGTACAGGCTGACGAAGGTGCGTCAGTAGATGCGCGAAAATGGTCAGTGTCACAGTAGCACACCTGTGATGCGAGGGTGTCAGAATGGCTGTATGGCGGGCATCGAGCACACAGCTGGTCACCTGGAGAAGACTTGTAATATCCCAGATCACATGCTACAAGAAAGCAGAGGTGGGAACTCTAATTCTGAGATGGATTTGCATTTTTCATCAATACTTGACTGTTTGATTTCCTGAAATCACTTGTGTTACATGACACATTTAATAAAAACATTAGATTTGTTGATTTTCAGATATGCTCATCTACTGCAAAGTTTAAAAATCCATAACGAAGTCATCGTGAAACAAATACAATTTTGATTATGGTACCTGCTTGAAAAGCCCTCCGGCGATTGGACTCAGAATAATGAAAAATATCAACTTGCTTCTCAATGAGCAGATTATTCATGTAATATTTATAAAATTATTTCAGACAGTACGAAGGATTTTTGCTTCATTTAACATTCAATATCTTTCTACTTCTAGGTTATTATTGCAACATATATAATATGTAATAATAATGAACTCTATAATCATAAAGGGCATCGCTAGTTTACACTAATTTTCAAGTATGTCAAGCATATAGAGGTTATTACTCAAATTAAATAACCATTAAAGGCACCCAGGCAACTTCATCTCAATTATATTGGGCCTTTAACACATCTCTAGTGGTTGTCTTCCTGACAACCACTAGAGGTGCTTCCCCTGTGGGGACCGAATCAGTCTCAGTTCTCAATCACATGCTGCTCCTAGCTGCTGGCGATTTGCTGCTCATACACATTAGCCTCACAATGCTTCCCTGTAGGGAAGCTTTGGATTGGCTGAGATCATCAACCTTGTTGATCTCAGCCAGAGAAGAGAGATAGAAAAACAGACAGACTAATGGACAGAAAGTCTGACAGAGAGAGAAGCAGGTTGATAGAGAGAGATAGATAGAGAGAGAGAGAGAGAGAGATAGGCAGGCAGACACATAGATAGAGAAATAGATATAGAGAGAGAGACATAGAGAGAGACAGAGATAGATAGGCAGACATATACATAGATAGATAGACAGACAGACAGATAGATAGATAGATAGATAGATAGGCAGACAGACAGAGTTTTGCTTGGCAGAATATCGGTAAACCCGATTCAGAAAAAAAATCAGACCGACTAAACATGTCATGCAAACAGGCCAATCACTGTACTGCAAAACATATATGTAATATAATAAAATAATAAAAAAAAAAAATCTATATTTATTTATTTATTAAATATATAACATAAAAACCTAGGTTTTTTTTACAGCTCCTCCCCCTAAACATTTAGCGACGGTCCCCGAGCCATCAATCATGTTTTGACCTATTAATTATATTTTTCTTTTTGCAACACAGGCGGAATTCCGAATCAAAACAAACATATTTGATTTTTGACATTGCAAGGCTTGTTTGGTTCATGATTCGAGTACATAGCGCCAGGGAATTCGGACGATCACCCAAATTTGGATGAACTGCAGTTCGGACTGACCTGAATTTCTAGAGCACAATAACCTGTATGTCATCTTGTGGTGGCAATGATGCACGAAACTCCTGGGTGCAATCAGCATTTCTTTTTTCAAACATTTGTGTGGGCATTTAGAATTCAGCAATACCAAATCACTCACTAAATACTTATAACTATTTTGCATGCCTTATGAGGAAGGTGGAACTTATTAATTTGATTTCGCAAGATGAGATGACGCCCTTTGGGTGGTGGGGTATCCTTGTTACTTGTTGGAACGTATTCATTTGATTTTGCAAGATGAGGGGACGCCCTTTGGGTGGTGTGGTATCCTTGTTACTTGTTGGAACGTATTCATTTAATTTTGCAAGATGAGATGACGCCCTTTGGGTGGTGGGGTATCCTTGTTACTTGTTGGAACATATTCATTTAATTTCGCAAGATGAGGTGACGCCCTTTGGGTGGTGGGGTATCCTTGTTACTTGTTGGAACTTATTAATTTGATTTCGCAAGATGAGATGATGCCCTTTGGGTGGTGGGGTATCCTTGTTACTTGTTGGAACGTATTCATTTGATTTCGCAAGATGAGGGGACGCCCTTTGTGTGTTGTGGTATCCTTGTTACTTGGAACAAATTCATTTAATTTCGCAAGATGAGACGACGCCCTTTGGGTGGTGGGGTATCCTTGTTACTTGTTGGAACGTATTCATTTAATTTCGCAAGATGAGATGACACCCTTTGGGTGGTGGAGTATCCTTGTTACTTGTTGGAACTTATTCATTTAATTTCTCAAGATGAGATGACGCCCTTTGGGTGGTGGGGTATCCTTGTTACTTGTTGGAACTTATTCATTTAATTTCACAAGATGAGGGGACACCCTTTGGGTGTTGTGGTATCCTTGTTACTTGTTGGAACAAATTCATTTAATTTCGCAAGATGAGACGACGCCCTTTGGGTGGTGGGGTATCCTTGTTACTTGTTGGAACGTATTAATTTGATTTCGCAAGATGAGGGGACGCCCTTTGGGTGTTGTGGTATCCTTATTACTTGTTGGAACAAATTCATTTAATTTCGCAAGATGAGACGACGCCCTTTGGGTGGTGGGGTATCTTTGTTACTTGTTGGAACATATTCATTTAATTTCGCAAGATGAGATGACACCCTTTGGGTGGTGGAGTATCCTTGTTACTTGTTGGAACTTATTCATTTAATTTCTCAAGATGAGATGACGCCCTTTGGGTGGTGGGGTATCCTTGTTACTTGT